TTTCCTGCCCTTCCCAGCGCAACTGGCGTAAACCCAGAGGCATTGACAACAGAGTGCGTCGGCGCTTCAAGGGGCAGATCCTGATGCCCAACATCGGCTATGGCAGCAACAAGAAGACGAAGCACATGCTGCCCACAGGCTTCAGGAAATTCCTGGTGCACAACGTCAAAGAGCTGGAGGTGCTGATGATGAGCAACAAGTGAGTGTGTGGGGCCTGTGCCCCCCTGGGGTGAGGGAGGCTGCTGTGTGCTTTGCCCCTTCATGGGAAGGCTCTGGAGGGCTTTGCCTTGTGTCTGTGTGGTGCTGGAGCCAAGCCCAATATGTGGTTTGTCTCTGACAGGTCCTACTGCGCAGAGATCGCTCACAACGTGTCCTCCAAGAACAGGAAGGTGATTGTGGAGAGAGCAGCACAACTTGCCATCAAGATCACCAACCCCAACGCCAGGCTGCGCAGTGAGGAGAACGAGTGAAGCAGCCACTGCAGCCCTCCTGTATATAATAAAGTGTCAGTAGAACCTGGTGGTGCTGTGCCTGGGCAGAGGTGTGGGGGCAGAAGCTGTGCCTGGGCTCCAGGGGCTCCTGGCCTGGCTCTGGGGCACCCACAGCAAGGTGCAGTGCCACAGTATTGTTGGTGAACTCAGGGCATGCAGTTTCATCAGTGTATTTTATTTTTCATACCGCTCAGCCAGAACAGATGTCCTTCCACACAGCACTATAAATACTTTACACATCAACCACTCTGTCAGAAAAGGGGAGAAGAAAGCATAGGACAGCTCCGTGGCTACAGCAGTGTAGTGGTGGCCTTGTCCTCCAGTTGGCTGTTGCATCCTCTGTCCCTTAAGGCATTTTCTCCTACATAAAGTAGGATTTGAGCACAGCAGCCACTGTGGGCTCCTGCCTGTCACCCCTGTGACACTCTCACAGACCACCAGCCTTCCTGCAGGTACCACTGCTGGTCTGTGACCAGGGTCAGGTGGGTGACACAACAACACAGAGATACTCCAAGGAGAGAGAGGAGCCAGTGCCAGTGCAAAGCAAAGCTTAGAGCAGGGTTTGTCACTGCAACAGTCACTAAATCATCCCTTGGGGACGACTGAGGTATTCTGCAGTCAAAACTGAAAATGGAAGCCAAGCAAGAAAGCTTCATATTGCCCAAATGTCAAACGATGGAGCCCCAGGAGCAGGGGGAAACCCCCTGCTCTGTGCAGCTCCTGCAGCTGGGCTGGTGCAAGTCTCCTTTCCCAAAGGGCCTGTGGGGGTGGTGCTCACCACTGAAGACTTGTTACCTAGTGAAACACTATAAATACATTCTTAGGCAATTTGGGGTAGAAAGTGCATGTGCAGTCGTTAAAAAAAAATTAAAACCTGCTTTTTTTGGTAAAGCAGTAGGGAATATTTGAGGAAGTAGTTTTCATTGTGGATCCACCCTCAGTTGCCATTACTTTGTACAAACTTGCTGAGAAATGGGAATACTCCACTTCCAGCCCTTCGCCTGTGTGAGGATGTGTCCATGAGGTGTCTGATGTGAGTACAGCTGGACCCAGCCAGTTTCTCCGTGGCTGCCCAGGGACTCAGGTGGCTGTGGCAGAACAGTGGCTCTGTAGCCTTCATTCCTCCCTGGCCCAGGCAGTGTCTCTGCTGGGGCTTCCTGAGGGCAGCAGGGGAAACACACCTTAGCTCATGTCCATGGACTCTGAAGTGGGGAGGGAAGCAGAATCTTTCTGAATGCTCTCAAAAAGTGATGCCATTTCAGGACTGGATCTGATCTGGGATGAAAACTCAGCCATGGCTGGGCTTTTCTCCACCTCGGGGATGGTCAGCAGAGCAGCCACTGCCCTCATGGCCGAGCGCTTCAGCTCATCCTGCTTCTCAAACTCCTGCTTCACCGACCCAGCCTTCACCTGCAAACCAGAGCCCTGGGGTCAGCTGGTGTTGGGAACAGCTGGAACAGGCAGTTTTCCAGCCTGGGCAGTGCTCAGGAAGGTGTCTGGGAGCAGAGGCAGGACCCACCCTGGCCCCTCACACCTCCCTGCCCTTACCTTGGTGGAGCAGGTGGCCCTGAGGGGCTCGATGAGGCGCTCGAGCCGCTGCAGCACTGCGCTGGGGCAGAGCACACACAGCCGTGCCAGCATGATGAACGTCAGCATCTGGCAGGGGAGAGACAGCGTGGGCTGTGTGAAACCTGCTACCATTTTCCTTTCCATTCTCACTGCTCCCTGCAGCCCAGGCTCTGCTGGCACTGTGGAGCCAGGCTGGGAACACACCCCTGGTACATGGTGGGCTGGAGCTGCAGGTGTCTGCAAAGGGCTGACAGCCCCAGGGGCAAACAGCACTGCTCAGCACAGGGCTGTGCCCACATCTGAGCAGGGATAAACCCCAGTTCAAAAAGGGCATTGTGCTTCCTATCCAGATGTGAGACCATCAGCAGTGACACTGCTAGGTTCTCTTCAGTGCAGTGTCCCACTGGGTGAGTGACACTCATTGGTTTAAAGGCAGAAGGAAACTATTTTGGAGTTTGGTACACTTCTACAAAGCCATCTACACCAGGGTTGTGTTGTCAATGCCACCACGGTCAAACCAGAGCCAGCCAATGCTGGATGGAAGGCTGCAGCAGTTGCAGGGAATAGGAAATGGTCTAGCTGGGGCACACTGTGCTGTGGAGACACGATTCCAGACCAGGCCCCCAGAGAAAATGACACCAGTTAGGGCACAGCACTGACCCGAATGTCGTAGTGATCCTTCAGCCCATCCTCCACGTGGTTCAGGTACTCGTAGATGTCCAGCCTGTCCAGGCAGCTTTCCAGCAGGGTGTACATGCACTCGAAGGCAGCTTTCCTCACATCCAGGCCATCATCCACAGTGTGCTTGAAGGGCCCCATCTCTACCTTAAGGGAGGCAAACAACACAGCTGTCAGCTCAGGGCCAACAGCTCCACTTGGCTCGGGCTGAGGTGCCCAGCAGCACAGCTTACCTCCCGGACGAGCTCCCGCCGCAGCTGCGTCTCACCATACAGGCTGGGCAGCACCGTGCCCAGCAGCTCCCGGATCAGAGAGGGTTTGTTGTGGGCAGCAGAATTAAACAGGGCTAAGGCCACACGGCGAACGTTCAGGTCTGGATCCTGCAGGGTCTGTAAGAAGTCACCTGAGGGGTAAGAACGCGCCAGTCAGTCCTGATGAAGTGTTTCTAAAGGCTGTTAGAAGTGTATCAGGAGGCTGGTTGGGAAAGCATTTAAGGTGACATAACTCTAGTCTAACAGAGCCATTCGATGTGCTTTCCCTCCCTTCATTTGGGACATAACAAATGGAATAAACACGACTGTCCTGTGTTTGGGCATAAAAACAAACAGTGTGACTCTAGCTCCTTCACCCTACAGTCAAATCAGAAGCTTTGGTATTCAAGGAAGTTTGGATTTGGTTTTTTTCCTGCTCAGATCCTATCTCAGACTTCTCTGAGACAGAAGGCCCAGTTCTGTATAGACCTGATGTGTGGACTCCCTGGACATAAAACCCTTTCCATGTCAAAATCCTTGTTGTGAGGTGCTTGAATCCTGAGTTTAAATGCAGAAGGAACTTAAGCTCCCTAAAAAACGATGGAATGTGCCCCGGAGCAAGTCATCAGAGCATTAAACAAGGGCTCATGGTATAGTGTTTGTAATTGCCAAAACAGAGAGACACACATAAAACCTAACTGGGCTGGATGAGGTTCACATAGCTGTGGAAAACCCCCAAGCTGCTAATGACACCCAACCTCTCCTGCCCCCAGCTCACACCTCTGTCCATACCAACCTATGCAGCCTTTCAGGAGAGCATCGATGGGCTGAGGTTGGTCTGCAATTGTGAACTTGATGGCAGTGACCACGGTGCTCCGGGCATGTGGGGAGCCTGCCAGGAACAGGGGAAGGAAAGCAGTGAAAGACCAACAGACAAAACCACTGCTGTGGCTCTCTAATACATACTCTGCTCTTCGTCCTGTTACACACATGTTGAAGAGATAAAGGATTAGAGGACACTTCTCACTAACTGTTTAAATCTGCTCCTGCACAATCTCCACGTGCAGTCCCTGTTCCTAACACCCCTGTGCAGATCAGTGCTGCTCTGATCCCCCTTGCAGAGATCCCTCATTTCCTGCTCACCTCTCAGACTGGCATTGCTCCTGTTGTACCCACCAGCAGTTTACAGGAGGCTTTTCCAGCAAAAGGCATTTCCCCCTTGTCCACCACCCTCCGTGTTACCTGCTGAGAGCTGTTTCCTCAGCCGGGGCAGCAGCTCAGCAGGGTTCACCAGGGTCAATTTCCCCAGACACTCTGCCACCACGTTGCGTGTCCCTTCCTCGGTGCACTCGCAGTGCTTGAAGAGCAGAGCCCAGATGTCCTCCACGTAGGGCGCGAGGCCGTCGGCCGGGGAGGAGCTGATCACCTCCTTCAGGGAGTGCAGCAGCAGGTACTGTCTCTTGGGCTGGCTCCCGATCTCCTTCAGCATGAAGGGCACATACTCCTCCAGGTTCCCCACGCTGACGTTCCCCAGCGCGTAGGAGGCAGCAGATTTCACCTCCTCACTGCTGGAGGCGAAAGCGTCCAGGATGACAGTTTTCAGCTCCCTCTGGGCACTGAGGTTGGTGGAGCGACCCATCTCTGCCAGGGAGAGGAAAGCCAGCACCTGAATGGCCGGGCTGGACTTGGGGCTCTTTGCATCCTGCACAAACTGGTTCACTGTCGCAGGGGCTTCCTTCGGGCAGGCCGAGGACAGGGCTGCCACGCACTTTGCCACGGAGTGGTAGGCCTGTTTGTGCAGTGTCAGCGCGGCCCCGGCCGGGCCCGAGGAGTAAACAGGGGCAGTCAGCTGCTTCATCAGCTCTGGGTAGCCCATGGGGGCTGTTTTTGTCAGCACCAGTGCCTGCAAGAAGTTGATGATGGCGTTCAGGGCTCCTCCTTGAAGCAAAGGCGAGTGGACAAGCTGGAAGGTTTCAGCGAGGACTGAGCCGCTGATCTTGGAGATGCAGGAGGGGTAAACCTTGGCCAGAGTGGTGAGGAACACGATGGCCACCTGGGACACGTGCATGTCGCTCTCGGTGATCAGGGCAGGGAGCTCTGTCAGCACTGACTCGATCATGGCAGGCTTGAGGCTGTCGCTGTAGTTCTTCACCAGGATGTCCAGAGCAGTCAGAGTGCTCAGTTTCAAGGCACGTTGATTCTTTCTCAAGAAGGAGGCTAGAATGGGGAGACCTTCCCCTAGAATGGGTCTCAAATCGATTTTAAGTGGAGAACTAGCAATTAAGGTCAATGCCTTGACTGTTGTCAGCCTGGTGATTTCATTTTTGAGCCTCTCCAGAAATATCTTCAAGGTTGGCTGGAGATCAGTGCTTAAATGGTCTCCCAGGTTGTGAATGATTTGTCCCATGCAGGAGATAGCACGTTCCTTCACCTCCTGGTCGATATCAGCTGCCTTCAGCCTCTTCAGAGTGCCAGGGAAAAGGTCCTTCACATAGGGCTTGGCATCAAAGGTGCAAGGTTTGTCCACAGGCCTGATGACTTTCACAAGCTGCTGAGTTACCAGCAGAGCTTCTGATGTGATCTTATAAAAGGGGTCTCCAATACAGGTCACCACAGGAGGCAACAGGCTCTTGATATGAGGGTGAAATACCTCCGGCTGGTGGTTGCAGAGGAGGACGTGGAGGAAGGACAGCGTGTCGATCCGCATGTTGGAGGAACTGGACTTATCCCCCAAGGAGAAAACAATACCTGTGCAGAGGAGACAAGAGTGACAGATGTCAAGTTTTCACCAAAGAGGAGGTGCAAGGATCCAGCCAGGGACAATCACAGGAGACTTTTCTCATATTCACTGTACAGTCACACCAAAGGCAAAGGCAGGACATGAGCCCTCCAGCACTGGGATGCCTTGTGAGCTCACAGGCAGGAGAGCTCAGAGGAAAATGTGGTGGTGCAAATTAAAGAATCAGCCAATATAAGGAACTTCTTTTAATGCCACTGCATTTTGCAAAAGGAAATGTCACTTGTGTTTCTGATCTCAGCAGGCTAACAGCATAATGCCAGCTGCTTTCAAAGGAGGCTGGAACAGGCCCTCCCAAAAGCATCTCCTCAGGGGACTGTGGAAATGAACTTGACATTCTTATCCTGCCTTCCAGGGCAGACAGAGGCCAGGATTAATCTAGGAGCTGTTCAGCACATCAACACTGATGTCCTGAGGCTGAGCAGAATAATACACAGGGATAAAACTGGAACACACAGCAAGGAACATGCACATCCAGAATGGATTGAGGTAACCCTTCTCCTTCCCCCCAGACCATGGACAAGCTCACCAGGGATGAGTGCAGGGATGTGATCCGCCAGGCAGCCGGGAAGAACATTGGCCAGTTCTGTCAGGAGGCTGAAACAACCCTGTCTTGATTTGATGCTCTTTTCTTTGAGCTGCTTGTGCAAGGCCTTGACAATGTTGGGGACCTGCAGTTCGCAGAAGCAAACGAGAAACAACTCAGGCACTCCAGCTGCTCTCAGGGGCTTACCCTGGTACATTTCTACCACAGTTTATTCAATGAGCTCCCTGAGCAGCAGCTGCAGTGACTGTAAGGCAACAGCCTGACGCTTCACCCAGAGGCCAACCTGCCTCAGCCTGCACACACGTGCCAGCAGCTGGCAGAGGGGCAGTGCTGGCTGTACCCTCTGCCCTGGGAATGGCAGGAGGCACACAGTAAGCATCCATCCCTCTGGATCTGCTCCCTTCTGGCTGCCTGTCCCCGGGCTGTTTCAGCTAGCCATGTTCTCAAGGTACCTACTTCTCACTGCTTTCCCCCAGCAACCACCTGCTCACACACCTGGTTCTGGAGCATTGTCAGGGGAACGTCATCCTTGCCAGAGGCATCAGAAACCTGCAGCCAGCTCTGGGTGGGCAGTGTCTGCTTCAGCAAGGAGATGTAGGCGCTGAAGATGTCAGCTTTGACATTCTCCTCCCTCTCTTTGAACCTGCTTATCAAGACTGGGGAGAGAGTTCTGTAGAAGTCCTGCAGGAGGTCATGCCTGCTGCTGACCACGGCCTCCAGGCACTTAGCCGCAGCCCTGCGAACCTTCCAGCTGATGTCGTCGTCATCACTGTACTCGTCGTCGCTCTCTGGGAACAACAAGGGAACACAGGGTGCACCATTATGAGAAAACCAGAGCTGCCCCCTCCAGCAGGAGAAATCAGGGAGGGGAGAAGTGTCAACCCCTGCACAGCCATCCTCACAAGCAGGCACCTTGCTCTTCATCCTCCCCATTCTCAGTTTCCATCATCTCTTCCTCTTCCTCCTCATTATCATAGTTGTAGTTTGGGTCAAAGCTGATATACTTCAGACACAGCCCCATCACACTGGGGATGTGTGGGTCTATTTCCTTTGGGCACCTGTCACGACAAATACAAATCCCAGGAGTGAATCAATTAGAGCTGTTTGAAATATCCAAATAATACAATTGAACTCAAAAGGACCCCAAAGAGCTTGCACAGACCATTTGAACATCTTGTTAGCAAGAGTTAAACCAGAGATGCTCCTTCCTGCTGTGCCAGCAAGACCACATTCCCCTGGGGAGGATGCAATGATTTCTGTAAGGACAAATAAATCCATTTCCTTCACCCCCTGGCTGAATCCTCCCTCCTGGGAGAACACCTCAGCAGCTCCGCAGGGCTCCTTTGCCAAGCAGTAAATGTCTGACTAAACAACATGAAAGCTGCAGCTCAGCAGCTCTTCTGCCTGAGCTCCCTTCCTGCCTCCAGCTCCCTCCACACACCAGGAGCAAGGCAGTTCCCTCTGGCTGAGGAACCCTCCAAGGACAAGGAAAACTCCCACTGCTGCAAAACCAATACAGAAACACCTTCACAGGTTGAGGTAAACCAGCTCATAACTCCAGCCCAACTCTGCATGTGCAGAACAGATTTCACATGTCACCTGTCCTTCCCAAGAGGAACACATGCAGCAAGGCACTCCTCCCTGGATGCTGAATGAATGGATATTTACAGCAGGAGGACACGGATGCAGGGATGGTGCAGAGGGGTTCCCCAAGGGCACACACCTTCTCACAAAGGACTCAAAGGCCTGGAAGCAGTACTCTCTCAGCTCGTCATCATCCACATTACAGTACTGAACGATCAGAGGAATTATCTTCTCCAGGTGTTCTCCTGGGAAAGACAAAGCAAGCAGCAGTGAGAAGCCATTCCAGCCCTCACTCACCCTGGCAGCTGACAGCTCAGCCACCTGCCACCTCCTTCCTGTGCCTGGCAGAGCACTCCTGCCCTGGACCTCGTGGGCAAGGAGCCAGCAGCCCACCAGAACCAGCCGTGCAGGATTTCCAGCAGCTGACCCTGCTCCCTGCCTGCAGCCCCTTGCTGGTATTCCAGTCAGGGGAAGAGCTGTGATTAGAGATCTTCTAGGAGCCAATCTCAACTCTGGCAGGTCTTTTAGGCAAGTAATACAATATGCTGCCCTCCATTTCTTCTCTCATTTGAAATGGGGTGAATCCACTGACCTAATTCACAGAGGTGTTAATTCACACCAGGGAAGTGCTGCAAGGTGAAGTCACTATGGAAGGGCAGCCAGAGAAATACTCTGGTGTCTCCTCCCTTCCAAGGGATGGTCAGAGAGCCAGGCCAGGACCACAGAGAGAATCACAAAGCTTTAGGTGCAGTGAGCACTCTTCTTTTACCACTAAGAGGAGCTGCTCTAAAACATACATTTCCCAGCATCATTTCCAGCTGCTGATCCTACCTATGCGGTGCCCAGCCTGCCTGCTGATGCCAGCCACACACTGAATGTACGTCCTGGTGGTTGATGTAGACTCATTCCTCTTCAGCTCGGCCAGGAGATGCTCTGTGAGCTCCGAGAAGATGTTTCCACTGCAGGTCAGGACCAGGTGCCCCAGGGCAATGATGGCCCGTTTACGTACTGCCAGCCTGGGGCTCGTCAGCTGGGGCAGGAGGCAGCTCAGGATGGAGGAATGGAAGGAGTAGAGTGTTCCCCCCAGCCTGCAATCAACAGAGCAAGGCAGAAGATGAGAGCCCAAGCCTCAGAGGAAAAGCAGTCTTGACAGCAACAAATGTAAAGATCCTTCAGCTATGGAGACTTCGTGCACGTTGTGGGACGGGGAGGACAAGGGTGGGTTTGGCATTTAGGTCTGAATACCGACTTGGTCTGTAAAACACAGGAGAAACTACTTGTCTCCATCAGGGAAGAGGTTTTACTGTGTCCTTCTGGATGACCTGGGGGTTTGTCAATAATTTCCTGCATGCAGATGACATATGACATATGACTCTGAGTTATGCAACAAGAGAAAGAGGCAGCCAGGGAAAAAAAATGCAAGTGTGATCAGATCACAGGGCTAAAATAAACCTCCCTGCATTGCCCTCGGCCTCCCATGCCTGTGTGGGCTGAGCCTCTGTGGGATCCATCACCAGTGGCACTGCCATTCCCAAGCACAGAAAGGCTTGGCATGTTGTCTCTTGTTCCTGCTGGGGACCTGCTCTGCTCAGCTATTCCCCAGGGGCAGCCAACCCAAATCCTCTCTTTTTAAGTGCCAGGATTAGGGAAATAGATAAATCAAAAGCAGACACATCCCTGCAGCCCCCTGCCATGCACAGCTGCCAGAAGAAAATCCCCTGGTACCTGCTCAGCATATCTGACAGGATGTCAAGGGCCTCCAGCTGCACAGACACATCCTCCTGCTTGCCAATGGCTCCTGTCAGCTGGGCTGTGATCTTTTTGCACACATTGGCTGTCATGGTAGAGCCTGCAAGAGAGAGAGATGTCAGTTACAAAGGAGTCTTTTTTGCTGCTGGGAACCATTCAATCCCTCCTACACTGAAAAAACAAATCACCACAGGGAGACCTAACCAGGACAGATACATGAGAGAGCTGCAGAGGAGACCTGTATCCCTGGGAGCCTCAGGAATGTCCAAATAGCTGCTGTGTTTTTGGGATACAAATGCAGGGAAGCAGCCAGGGTGGCAGGGGTGGCTGGACAGGAGTGGTGCAGTGCTGAAATCCCAGAGGGTGGTGGCACTGCTGATGTAGGGACCAACGGCCCAGCCAGGCTATCCTGACACACAGTGACTGCTTTAGGATTGACCCAAACACAAATGGATTTCCCCAAAACTTGGACTCAGTTTCAGGCCTAAGTATCCTCAGGGTGACCAGATCAAGTTTTCATTTCATCCCCTCTTTCACCACACTGGTAGCTCAAGTTCTACTCTCTCTCCTCCTGATTTCATTGGTTGCCCACTGGCAGGTGAGTAAGGAATAAGGAATCTGGAGCTTTTAGGCTGTGAACTCCCTGTTTTCCAAGGGCTGCTATTCCCTGCTCCTCAGAGACAAACAGGGACAGACAGCACCTGTGGCAGCTGGTGGCAGCTCGGAGATGACAGTTTTGAGGCCAATGCTGGAGATGTCCCGGAGCTGCTCCTTGTCTGACAGCATGTTGGTGCACAGTGTGTCCACGATGGTCTCCACCTGGTACTCCTTCACCTTGCCAACCAGTGGGCCCAGGCTGTGAGAGGAGAAGTCAGACAGGATGAAGGGCCTAATCCAACTGCCAGTATCCTGCAAACCATCATTAAATGACTGACTAGATGTTAACTGCTCTAAGTACCTCCTTAAGCATGGAAAGAAAATATTCCCAATTCCATTTTGAGGCCTCCTCGTTATTACACTCTGGATGGATGAGAGACCACAATGGGCACAGACTTACTGCTGATACAGCCAGAGAGAAACAGGCAAGGAAATGTGTCCTCTGCTCAGTGCGCAGCTGATTTGCTTCAAAAAGCAGAATAAACCAACCCAAAGCAGGCAGAGACAGAGGCAGGGGCAGAAAAAGTCAAGACAGTGGGAATAAAAAAGTCAGGACAGTGGGAATCAAAAAGAAAGGGCTAAAGGTCACAGGAAAAGGACAGGGATAGTAGCAGCATATGGTTAAAAAGAAGGGAATATGAACAGGATCCACAGCAGGAAAAAAGAGAGGAAACCAAAGTTGTCTTTACACGGAAAAACCCAAGTGCATTATAAACTTCTATGAAAATGCCCTTAAAGAGGAGGATTCAGACCCAAAATTGAAATGCCATTTTTGAAGGGCTCTATTGGTTTAGTACCACCTCTATCAAAGACAGAACCATGAGGAAGTTCAGCACTGATTTCAAAGGCCAAGAGAGGTCAGGAGCTTGATGACCAAAGCTTTAAAATGGGCTTCTCTCTGAAGAAATAAACTCTTAGGGATGCCATTTTCCATGTGACAAGGTTCATAATATAAGCACTGAACTTCTTACAAAATCACTCCTGCTGCTACAAAGGGCATCTGTGTGCTCACCCTTCTGAGTATCCACAGAGACAGAAAGTGCAGTGCCCTGTGAGAGGAAAGCCCCTTGCAAGGAGGTTTGAGTGAGGTGCCCAGGGCCAGGCTCCACTCTCATGCACTCCCTGTGCTCTGTGACTGCTTTCTTAGTGCCAAGGACCATGGCATTACCTCCCAGGCTCTTACCACTTGACAGCAAGGTTCTGGACTTCCCCATTTTTGTCCTCCAGCAATTTCAAAAGCATTTTCACAACTTTTTTCTCACTGTCTTCATCTAGTTTTATTGAATCCTTCTGCAGTTCCATCATCAGGTCATTGGTGGCCATAAACCTGCAAGGACACAGGGCAAGAGTGAAGACACAAATGCATCACCTGGAACAAAGGAACTTGGTAACTGGTGCTTGTATGAAAACTCACTACCAAAGAGTAACTTACAATCCCTTCACACTGTCCTGAAAAACAAGGTACAGAGAATTACTACTACCTTAACAAGTAGATAAATACCTAACAGGGGTCAAGTAAACAAAAGCTATAAAAGTGGCACCCAGCTCGTGTATTTTTCTCAGTGACTAAGTGAAGATGGTTAACAGTGCCAGAAAGGATCCTGGTGGGTTTTTTCACCGATTTCCTGGCCTAGGAACAGCAGTCTGAGGTCTCAGAACACACCTGCCTCCATTCTTTCTGGCTAATTTAGCATGGGTAGAATGACCCCACACATGGAGAAGGCCTATCACACTCAAACATGAAAAATAAAGTCATGACTCCATGCAAACTACACCTCAGAAGAGCCCTAGGATATATTTAGATTGTTGTAGCAAAACCAAGCAAATATTTATCATTCCAGCTTAGAAGGAAAAACAAAACACCCAGCTAACTGCTGGTCAGTTTCTAACAGGGACAATGACAAAAGGGATATTGAGCAATTCTGGAAAGTATCTGTTTTCCTGGGAGCAGGAAGTGCAAAAGGTGCTGGTACAGGAGCCTGAGGTCCAATCTCAGCCTGGCTGTGTTCTAATGTTAGCCCTGCACAGATGGATGTCTGACAAGAACCACAAAGCCCTTCCCTCTCAGCACCAGATGACACCTCCTTTTTAAATTAGGCTCTGATGTCACCCATTCAGCACGTACCAGCCCTGGTGTACAGGGCAATGTTTGGGGCTTCAATCTGCAACCCATTCCTGCGTGCAGCGAGGGACACCTGGGACAGGGGACTGCTCTGGTGTCCCAGAGCCAGCCCTGAGGAAACAGGGACTGTGCCCTTGGACATTCACACTCTATTTCTGATGCTGCAGGAGCTGCACTGGCAGTTCAGTGTCTGCCTGGAACCAGCATGACCAATTATGGCCACGGGATGAGCCGAGTCCTCTGCGGCAGCACCTCCTGCCTCGGACTGTCTGCCTGTGCCATTCTGCTGCTTCTGTGCCATCCTGCTGCATCCTGCTGCCTGCCCGCCCAGGACCTCAGCATTTGGCACATGGATCCACCTGTGGTGGGCAAGCAAGAGAAGCTGGTCCTACAGTAGGTCAGACTGTCTGTGCTGGGAGGACATGGCCCTGCAGTACCTCCGTGACAGGACACATGCCCAGTGTTGGGCATATCTACTTTGGAGTGTTAACTGTGAATTCTTTGAACAAACTGTACAACTACTCTGTCACTGACTGCTTTATAAAGTACCTGTTGTTAACAAAACCAGAAAGATCAACCTACTTCTAGGCTATTATTAACCTCTCTCTTTTAGACCTCAAAACAAGTCTGGCACAAACGTCACCTTCCAAGTTAGTACTGAGAGAATGATATGCTCAGGGCTGAAATCTTTCACATGTGTTGGTTTAAATAACTTTTTATAGAGTGCCTTACACATCAAGCCACCAGCCCCAGCCCTAACAAAATGGCAACTTTTCTGCTGCCATAAATAAAGAGAATAAAAGCATCTTAGTCCTGCTAGGGAGGCACATTTCCCCATCACAGAAACAGCTCCTGAAGCAGCCTGAGCACAGCCAGCAGCTGCAGCATCCCTCACCTGGGGACACAGCTGCCCAGGCTGGGGTCTCTCAGCCCTTTTAATGTACTGCTAGAGGAAAAACAAACCAGAAGCATTTCAGCATTTGTGCTCTGCTCTTCATACACAAAACAGGTAATGACTTAAAGTCCAGCAGTCAAGACACTTATTCCCCTTCCACTCTGCTCCCTCACTCCATCAAGCAGCGACCTAGGCAGGGGAAGGGAAGCACCGTTGGCTTCTCTACACTCCCCTGAGCCAGGACAGGGTTTGCTCGAAACACTGCCAATAGGACTGACCAAAACCTCTGACACAGAAACACCCTGCACACCTGCAAGGCCAGGGACACCCTGCCTGCCCCCGGCGCGGAGGAACTGTTCCCGTGGGAATCCTCCTGTCCCGCGGGGGCTGTGCCCGGCCCGGCGCCGCACCTGAAGTCCTTGTCGGTGGAGGTCATCTTCTCCAGCAGGCTGGAGATGTGGTAGGACACGCTGGCCATGGCTGCGGAGGGTCGGGGTCGCTCCGCCGCTCTCTCTGCTCCGTGCCG